TAGTTGTGAGAGTGATTTGGTGATTAATAAGGAGAATTATGATGGGGAATTGGCGAGAGAGCATGAGGAGTGGACGGAGCAGGAAATTTCAAAAGGTAATCATCACCTTTATGTGAGTGATTATGCTAATGAAGTTAGCAAAGATGAATTTTTTTCGGAGCGGTCAGGTCGGAGTCTAACCGCTTATGGATTGACCTTTTAGCCTCTCTATTTTTTTCAATAGCCAAAGCGTCTCGTTCGGCCAGACACGGTCATCAATACTATTTTCTAATTGTTGAACTTCAGCAATTAATTGTTGATTTTGGTTTTTTGCGATAAAAGTTTTTCTTTTTGGTTCTTTTTAAATTTTTTTTTCCTACCACAACTTAAAAAACTAATATATAAGAGATATGCCAAGCGTGAAAACCAACTAAAAAAACATAGGAACTAAATCATGTCAACTACCGGATTAAAATGTTGTCGTAAATCAAATTGTAAATGTTCTGCTCCTTTACATAAAGAAATAGCCATTACCACTCATGAAAAAAATCTCGGACTAGTCTACGATGAGCCAATTAAGAAGCAAAGAGAAAATATAAAAAATCTCTCCTTCATAGAAGAAAAATATTTAGACCAACCTCATATCCGAGTGGCAATTCATAAAAATAGTAAAGAGCCAGTTCTGGAAAATTGGGTAAATCATCCCGAGAACCGAACCATCAGCAAACTATTAAAAATAGGTAATTATGGTTTAAGAACTGGGACCAAATTAGGTAAATACTATTTTTGTGCTTTGGATATTGATAAGAAAGGAGAACAATTCCATTTTTCGCAAATCTCCTATATTAGAACTTCCAAAGGAAGTCATTATTATTTGCTTCTTAAAAAGTTGCCAGAAAATGTTCCTTTATTCTATCAGGGAGAAAAAATTAGGAGAGTAATGTCCCTTGGAAAGCAAGTTGTTGGTAGTGGTTCTATTCATTCAAGCGGAATTATTTATCAGTTTGTGGAAAGAGGTGAAGTTTTTTTAAAGTTTGAAGACAAGGAGGAATTAGCCGATTACTTGAATGGCTATGGAATTGTTTTGGAAAACGAAAAAGAAATTCAAACTTAGCCAAACTCAACAAGAAGTAAACCAGTGATAACAGTTATTGAACCATTCATATTATTATTTTTCTCCTAATAGGTGATGAACCAATCATGTAATATTTTTTTAAAATAACTTCGTTTGTCGTTCTATAACTATATCATTTACCAGATCAGTATATTTGCCAACATAAATATACTTTCGCGGA